AGCAAAGTAAAATATATAAAATCTCTTCGCCAAAAAGGTTCACTTTTGCCAGTAACGAATCAGTAATGTATTTCTGCTTAGCTACCAAAGGTTATACTTTCAATTTAAAAACTAAAATGCTTGGTCATTATCAAATAAAAAATATTAGTCTAGCCATTCATATTGCTCTTTATTTACAAAAATATTTTCCCCAAATCACCCAAAATAGTATAGAAGAAGGTGTTGAAAAAACATTTTGACCTAACAGAATGGAATTAATAAGCCGCAACCCTCTGTTATTTTTAGATGGTGCTCATAATCAAGCCGGAATTAAGCATCTAGTTCAAACAATTAAAACTTTTTTTCCTGCTAAGCAACCTATTTTTTTAGTTTCTATAATGAAAGATAAACAAGTAAACAAAATGCTTAATGCTTTAAAAGAAGTTGCTTACCAAATTATTTTTACCGAAATGCCCGGTTCTCGAAAGCAAGAAGTTAGTAAATTAAAACAGTGTATTACAACTAAATTTCACAAATTTGCTGACTGTTCAAAAGCATTTTTTTATTTTTATTCCTTGCTGGATAATGAGAAAATAGGGATAATTACTGGTTCTTTACATTTTACTTCCTACGCGAAAAGAGAATTTTTGGTGAGTTCGATCAAAGAGAAAGAGAAACATTTTCCAACTATTATTCACTAATCACTATCTTATTTAAAGATTTCTTAATAAATCCCTAATCCTAATAAACTAACTGCCATTCCACCGACAAAAGTTAATACTCCTTTAATAATTATTGTTTTGTTTAGAAATGCTTGCTTACTGTCTGACTGGAATTCACCAGCAGGCCGTTGGGCATTTCTTCATGAATTTTTTGTTCGTTCATATGTTTTTGCATATAGACGAATGAAATGCTTGGTAAAAAAATTCTGATTATAAAAATTAACTATATATCGCGGGGTAGAGTAGTGGTCCAACTCGGCGGGCTCATAATCCGCAGATCGCAGGTTCAAATCCTGCCCCCGCCACCAAGCCCAAATGGCGGAATGGTAGACGCATGGGACTTAAGATCCCACGGAGTTATCCGTGCCGGTTCAAGTCCGGCTTTGGGTACCAGTATTAAAATTTATTATATACATGAAAGAACTAAAAAATAATAAACAAAAAAAACATGTCATTACTGGAATTATTTTACTAATTTTCTTTTTGCTTGTCGGCGGAGTTATTTTTTTTGTTTGTGCCAAAAATGAGAAAAGAGAAACTCAAGCAAGGATTTCAGAGGCTGAAAAACGAGAAATAGAAATTTTAAAAACTGAAATTACCCAACTAGAAGACCAAGAAAAAGAATTAAAAGAACAATTTACTAATTGCCAAACACTTTTAGAAAAAAAATCAGTAAAGGAAAAATTGACCCCTTTACAAAATACCATCTTTGACAAAAAAAAAGAATTAAAAAACTCGGCTCCGACTTCGGCTTCTAGTTCCTTAAAAGACAAAAAAAATCTCGATAAAAAAAAACTGGCTAATTCATTGAAAACAGAATTAAAAAAAGAGTTAGAGCAAAGAGCAAATGGCACCTGAAAGGAAAATTATGATATCCAAAGCAACCCTAGTTTTAAATTTTATTTTGCTCGCCATTATTTAGACGAACAAGATTGCCAAGAAATAGCCGATTTGATAAGCCAAATACAAATATTAAGAGAAGCCGAAAAAGAAAGGCAAGAAACAGAAAAAAATGAAAAATTAGAAAATAACCCGAAATTATTTTATTTTAGCACCAGAATGTCAACCGAACGCAATGGTAATTGGCAACATTATCACTGTTTTCATGGCAAACATAAAGGATGAAATTATGAGGTTAATATTCCTGACAACCACCCGGCTTTAAATAATGTACTTTTTAATGATGGTTGAGGCACTAACTCTGAAATTGGAAGTTTTTATTTAATTGAGGAAATTGAGGAGCCTGCTGAACTTCATTATTGAAATGTGGAAAAACAAAAAACAGAAATCGTTTCAGACAAAGAAGTGATTCAAGCCGTCCAAGAAGGTAAAAAATTATTTTACGAAAAATTTGTTAATTTGGGAGACAAAATTACTATTAATTATTTTCAAGAGAGAGAGAGAGAGAGAGAAATAAAATTTTAAATGACATTTCTTGCTTTTGGTAATCATACTGTTCGCAGTTTAATAAATTCTCCATATTTCCAATTAAAAAAAATTCTGCTTTTGGCTGATAAATACAAAAACGATAGAGAACTACTTAAATTGCTAGAGACCAAAAAAATCACTTATCAATTGCTAGAAAAAAATGATTTCTCTCGTTATAGTTTTGATAAAAAAAATCAAGGTATTGTTGCTTTTATCAAAGAATACGATTATATTACGCTAAATTCTCTGCTAAAACAAAATTTAAATCACCAATTTCCTTTATTGGCTATGCTTGACAGCATTGAAGACCCTCATAATTTCGGAGCAATTTTGCGAACTTGTGCGGCATTAAAAATAGACGGAGTAATTATTGCTAAGAAAAACCAAGTACCAGTAAATAGCACAGTGATTAAGGTTTCCATGGGCGGTGTGGCTTATGTTCCTGTTTGTCAAGTGAATAATTTGCTAGAAGCCATTAATGAATTAAAAAAAGCCAATTATCAAATTATTTCAACAGTCTGCCAACCAGAAGCCCAAAAATATAACCAAGTAGGATTTAATGCCCCTATTTGCTTAGTTTTCGGCAATGAACACCAAGGAATTAAGCAAAAAATCATTCAAAAAAGTGATAACACTCTTTATATCCCAATGAGTAATAACATTAGTTCTCTAAATGTTTCAGTTAGTTGCGGAATTATTTTAGCACAAATAATCAATCAGAGAGAGGAAAAGAAAAAATTAGAAAAATAAAGCCGGTTATATGGCTATAAAAAGAAAAACATTGAAGTTTGGTTTTGGCATGGTAGTTTATTATTTCCTTTTATCGCTTATGTTTATTTTTTTCTAGCAAATGTCAATTTAGTCCTTTTTCTCGGTAGAGAAGGTAAAATAATAACTCAATTAATATCCTTTGGGGTATTCTTAGTTTACGAGGGTTATTTAGTTGATCAATTTTTTCAATTTGCTCCTTAGTGAAAAAAGTAAATTGATAAAGGAATTTTAAGGCTTGTTCATCAGGCATGTTGCTAAAAAAGTCATAAAATTCATGATAGGAAGTTTTTTTTTCAGAAAGTCAAACAGTTTTACCAGTTGAAGATTTAGAAATTTTTTTACCATCTTTATCAGTTAATAAAGGAAAAGTAAAAGCAAAAGTTTTATTTTCAGGGTAAATGCTGCGAATTAATTTCAAACCAGTAGTTAAATTTCCTCATTGGTCGCTCCCTCCTAATTGACCATGACAATTATAATTTTGATAAAGATAATAAAAATCATAAGCTTGTAAAAGCGAATAACTAAAAGCGGTAAAAGATAAACTAGTTTCTGGATTCTCTACCCTTTGCTTAATTGTTTCTTTCGTCAATAAATAATTAACGCTAATATTTCGTCCAATCTTATTAAAGTCAATTAGTTTTAGTTCTCCCAGTCATTCGTCATTATTGAGAATTTGGAAATAGTGATTTTTATCTAATGGTCAAATATATTGAAGATATTTTTTCCAAGGCTCGTTTTCATTTAACTCTAGTACTTGATAAATATCCTTTAATAAAACAGGGTTGTCAGAGTAAAATAATTCCAAAGGTCGAAAACCTGGTTGGCAAGGCTTTTTTTCTTTCAGCAAAAGATCAGTAATTTGTCCCTCGATTTTTTGGTAGTAATTTTTTATCTCATCATCCGCCAATTGTGGTCGTTCTTTTAATTTATCACTTGGATCACCAATTTTACTGGTAGCTCCACCAAAAACTAAAAGTATTTTAAATCCTTTTTGGGCAAAACGAATAGTTTGTAAAATTGTAAATAGATGCCCGATGTGTAAACTGTCATTAGTGCAATCAATTCCTCAATAAATTACTTTTTCGTCAGATTTTAATTGATAAAAATTTTCTAAATTAGCAGCATCAGTAATTATTTCTCTTTTTTGTAAATCTGCAAAGAAGTTTTTCAGTTCAGTGGACATATATCTTTTGTAGTAAATAAATTAAACTCTGCTGGTTTCTTTAGAAGAAGTTCACTTTTTTGCTTCTTCAGGAGATTTACTTTCTTCCGCAGTTAATTCAGCATCCTTTCGGAGTTTGCTCTCACGAATGACCTCCGCAACAGCGTTAACTAAATATTCAACTGAACTCGCTTTTCAGTCATTACCAGGAATTACATAGTCAACTAAGTCCGGATCAGCACTAGTGTTACAGATTGCCATAATTGGAATATTTAACCTTTTAGCTTCTCTGATAGCAGTTTTTTCTTTTTTTAATCCAATAATAAACAATAAAACATTGGGTCGTTTTTCACCTTGAAAGTAATCAAATCAGCCATTTTTTGGTAAATCAAGCACTCCTTCATAGACTTTTTTTAATTTATTAATTTTTTTTTCTAACTCAACCTGTTCTCTTTTGGATAAAGTAGCAAATTTTTCCGATTGCTGAAAAGCAAGCAAATCTTTTAAATGTTTAATTGACTGTTGAATAATGTGGAAATTAGTTAAAAATCCTCCTAATCAGTGGTGGACTAAATAAGGAGACTGGCAATTAATTGCAGCCTGTTTAACAATTTCTGCTAAATGAGGAGCAGTTCCGACAAATAAAACAGTCATGTTTTCCTCCTTGACCATTTTTTCAATTTGGGGTTTGACATGAAAAAAACAATCAATAATTTTTTGCTTTTCAAGAAGATGTAATTTACCATTCTTTTTGAAAATATAAGGTTTCATTTTCGGATTTCAACGTTGGGTTAAGTTGCCAAGATGTACGCCTGCTTTTAAGAGACTTTCCTGCTCAATATTCATATTAACTATTTTTAAGGAAATTTTGTTCTGTTTCTATTTTGTTTTTGCCAAGCAATTAAGAACTTTCTGCTTTGCTGCTTTCAACTTTATAACCTTCCACTATGGAAATGATTAATGGTTTATTTTGTGGCAAATCCTGGGATAGCAGGTTCTCCATCTTTTCCTTAATTTTCTTTTTTAATTCAGTTAGCGAAAGTTTTTTTTCGTCGTTAACTAGTTTATGAAGAGTTTTTTTCCAATTATGCACCAAAATTTTATTTTTTTCCATATTCAAAAAGCCATAAGTGAAAAGATAAGGCAATTCAAACTTTTGTTGAACTTGGTCGTAGAAAGCAATGATGACTATTACACCAAAATGAGACATTTGCTGGCGTAAGCCAAGGTAATCCTTTCACCAATCACCGTGAATAATTTTTTGATTGAAAACATAATGAGGAGTAGCGTCAACTTTTTGGTTAGTGAAAAAGAATTTAGGCGCTTCTGTTTCTTCTTCTCTGGCTTGAATTACTTCCCCATTTTGACAAACAAAAACGTTGGCAGCCGGAACCCCTGTTTCTTGTGCCAAAGCACCATGAACTTTTAACATCCGAAAATCGCCGTGAAAAGGCATAAAATAGCGAGGCTTAACCAAAGTTAACATTAATTTCAAATCTTCTTGACAGGCGTGTCCTGAAGCATGAAGTAATTCTTCTTTGCTATTTTCGTAAATAGAAGCACCTAATTCCATTAATTTATTGTTAATTGCCTCTAAATTATAACGGTTATCCATAATTGGTGAAGAAGTCAAAATCACCGTATCTCCTCGCACAATTTTCCAGTCCGGATGAATTTGGTGAGCCAGTCGGCTTAAAACGGCTTTGGCTTCCCCTTGAGAACCAGTACAAAAGATAATCAATTTTTGTGGAGGAATTTTTTTATTGAGAACTGATTTAATAAACATTGAATTATCAATCTTTCACAAACTAACTTTTTGGATAGCTTTCATCATTTTTGCTAACGAAGAACCCAAAAGGAGAATTTTTTTGTCATACTTTTTGGCAATTTCAATAATTTTTTTCAAGCGGTAAACATTAGAAGCAAAAGAAGTAACAATTACTCGTCCGGGGGCTTGGGAAATAATAACTTCCAAACGAGAAACTATTTTTCTTTCAGTAGGAGTGGTGCCTGGAACTTCAGCATTAGTGGAATCACTCAACAATAAATCAACTCCTTTTTTTCCTACTTCTGCCAGTTTAACAAGATCGGTTTTTTCTCCAATTTCGGTTCAATCAAATTTAAAATCACCAGTCAAAACTATTCGAGAACGAGAAGTTTCTACAATTAATCCAAAAGAGCCAGGTATTGAATGAGTTACACGGAAAAAGCTAATTCGAAATTCAGCAGTACGAGCCGTTGTATCATCAGAAAAAATAATGCCTTTCAGTGAATTTTCTTTACTGCCAAGTTTTCCTTTCAGCAGAGCCAAAGCAAAAGCTGAACCATAAACCGGAAAATTATAACCAATTTCTGCTAAAAGATAAGGTATCCCGCCAATATGGTCTTCATGTCCATGGGTAATGAATAGTCCTTTTATTCTCTCTTTGTTGTTTTTTAAATAAGCAAAATTAGGTATTATTCCATTAGCCAAATTATAACCATTATTCAAAAATTTAATTCCACAGTCAATAATAATTAAATCTTCATTTTTTTCAATTATATAGCAGTTTTTTCCAACTTCATGTAAGCCACCTAAGGCTAATATTTTTAAATTTTTATTCATTTTTATTATTTATTTCTTTTGATTTTTGGGTTTTCTTTTTCATAATCAGTAAATTAAAAGTAGAGAAAATCCTATTCCTAGAACAGCGATTAATATTCAAATAACTTTGTTGCTAGTTCCTTGGTTGTTAGTTCTTTGTGGTTTTTGGTTATCGCTATGGGATTGGTTAAAGTTTTCTCCTTGTGGTTTAGGTTCTTCTTCTTTTACTTCTGTTATTTGGCTAAACTGCTCGTCGTCTTGAAATTCCAAAGTATTGTATTGACCATTCTGGCTAGTAAGTGTTCATCTCTTAATTTCTAAAATTAGTTTCTTTCCCGCACTATTAGATATTAATTTTTCGTATTTTTCTTGAAAGTTTTCCATAGCCCCTTTTTTTTTTGCATACTTCTCAAACAAAACAAAAACAATTCGAGCAATTGGTGACATTCCTTCTATTCCTAGCGAAAGTGGTTCAATTTCTAATTCATAGGCATAGCCTGCGCTATTTTTATATCCTCCTCCGGGGAATAATTTATCTAATCTGACTTTAGTTGACCTATTGACTTGAAAAGTAATAGGAGTAAGAGGCGTCTTGTTTCTCTTTTCAACTAAAAAGCACTTTCCTTGATACGCTGTTTTTCCGACAATAAAATCTGGTTTGAATTTTAGGTTATCAAGGTTAGTAGAAAAGCAGTTATTTAATTGTTCTTCAGCTTTGGCATCATCAACATCAATTCCATTCTTTTTAAGATAGTTAACAAAAACTGAATTATCATCAGGAACGAGTAAGTAAGTAACAGGAATTTTGTTCTCAAATTTAATGCTGTATTCTAAAACAAAAAACAAGTATTTTTGCTTTCCCTCTATGTAAGAAGTAGGTATACATTGTAAATAACGAGGAGAAAGTTGAAAAGGATATAAAAAAATTTTTGTATTCATAGTAATTTTAATTGGCACGCCCAGAAGGAATTGAACCTTCGACCATTTGAACCGCAATCAAATATTCTATCCACTGAACTATGGGCGCAAGTTAATTAAGTAGATTTTAGCGAAACAAGGGTTTCTTATTATTAATATTTTTACTTTCTTTTTGATTTTTATCTATATGGCAAATAAATATGAACAAAATAAAAGCCTTAAATGGCAAACAGCTGGCGAGTGCTGAGAGAAAAACCGCTGGGGTAGTTCAACCTAGCAATAGAAACGAACAAAACTTAGAAAAACAAAATATTCGCACCATTATGCAAACTCTCCACAGCTGTCGGAAAAACTGTGCGGAATGTAAAGCCAATGAAGCCGAATGAGAGCCAAAAATTGAGCAAAAGGAGGTCCACCGTGCTTAACCTCTACCAAAAACTCCACCAAATCCAAAGTCAAACTGGAGCCATTAGCAAAAGTGAATTAAATAAATTCGGCAAATATAAATATTTTACCGAGTATCAAGCCTTAGAAATTTTAAAACCCTTACTAGATACCCATAAACTAACGCTTACTTTCAGTGATAGCCCGGGTGAATTTACCAGCGAAAGAACCGAAAAAGAGTACCTGGTGCGCTACTTAAAGCAAGCCATTCTCACCAACTCCGAAGACCCGAAAGAACAATTAACCTTCCATTTCTGGGCTATCGGGAGCAATTCCGACCCCGCCAAAGCCAAAGGCTGTGCGGAAACTTACGCGATTAAATACTTTCTCACCAAATTCTTTTTAATCCCGACTACGGATGAACTAGACCCAGATGTCACTAAACCCCTGGAACACTTAAACCGGCTCAAAAATGGCAAGCAAGAAACTCCCGAACAAATCAAAGCCCGTCACCGCGACCGGGATTTAGATTTGCTTATTAAGAAGCATGGTTTAAATTACCAATCCACCGCTGATTACCAATTTGGCTAACCTAATTTGCGAAAAACGTCCTATCCGCAGGCTATTTCTAAGCTCTTTTTTGTCTATTCCTTGGCAATCTAGAATAAAAAGGTCTTTGGTTTGATTTCTCTTCGGTTAATCAAGTTCAAAGCCAAATTAGTCCTAAACCAATTAAAATTACCCCTCTCAACACTTTAAGCAATAGTTCCATCATAAATATATTTCCTTATTTGTTGTCTTTTCTTTAAATCTTTCATGGTTTCTCAGTAAACTGGCTTATTATAATAAAATTCTTTTAAGCAAGCATCACAAATCTTTTTGTTTTTTCCTTTTCCAGTTTAGTAGTCTCAATTGTTCTTTTGGCTATAAGCTTTATGGGGAATCACAAATTTAACTAGGAAGTCTTTTTTACATTGAAAGCATTTGGCGAGAAGAGGTTGAGGGAAGCCGTTTTGGTTGACTAAGACTTTTGGCATGATATATAATTTTTAGAGATAAAGTCTTGGTCAATTTGTGTTTAGTGAACAATGCTCCGTAGCTATCTTTTTATCTCTATATAATTTTGCTATTATGAAGAAAAGCGTAAAATATACTTATAGGTAAAAAAATTAGGTTAAATTTAATGGCTCTTATACGCGTGCAAATATCTTGTATTTTTTTTATGTTATATGTCGAATGAGGGAACATGCGGACGAATACTAAAAACATTCCTCATTCTTTTCATTCGTTTTTACTTATTAGGTGTTTTTCCAGGTTTTAGTTTAATAATGGCATTTTCTCGATAGATTCCTTTCATCTTGTAAGGGTTAGGTCGACGCAAATTTTCAATTTTGGCGGCAAATCGCCCCACCTCTTCTTTGCTTATTCCTTGAATGATTAATTGAGTATTGCTCGGACAAGTTATTTCTAAATTACTCGGAATTGCCATTTTAATAGAATGAGAAAAACCTAAAGTAAATTCTAGTTCTTTACCTTTTGACAATACTTTATAACCAGTCCCTTTGATATCTAGTTTTTTTTGGTGTTTTTCTTGAACGCCTTTAATTCCGCTGTAAATTAATGAATTCATAGTTCCAGCCAAGGCATGTGCCTTTCTGGCAACTGAACCTCTATTTGTTTCTATTTCTTTAGTAAAGATTTTATTTCCTTCTTGAATTACTTTTACTTCTGGGAAGATTTCCAATTCTAATTTGCCCTTTGAACCGCTAATTTCAATTTTTTGTTCTTTTTCTTTGATAACTACCTGAGTGTTTTCAGGGATAACTAAACCACGATTAACAACTGTCATAATTAACTAATAAAACCAATTAATTCTCCTCCCACTTTTTTTTTCAAGGCTTCGCGATGGGTCAATAATCCTTGAGAAGTAGAAAGCAAATAAATTCTTCTCCCCAAGCATTTTTTTTTAATTTGGGGCAAACTTAAATAAATTTGTTGAGAAGGTTTGGAAATTCTTTTAATTTCGTGTAGCAAACTATCTTTATTAAAATATTTAATCTCTACTTTGATTTTTTTGTTATTTTCATCTACATAATATTGAGTTAGATAATTGTTTTCTTCTAATTTTTTACAGATGCTTAGTTTGAAACGAGAATAAGGAAAAACAACTGTACGTTTTTGTCGCAGGTTAGCATTTCGTAAACAAGTAAACATATCAGCAACAGGATCAGTTAACATATATATAATTATTTTTTACAGTTTATGATTTGAATATTGGCAGAGGTGAGAGGAATCGAACCCCCATTTTCAGTTTTGGAGACTGCGGTTCTACCATTAAACTACACCTCTATTGTTTTATTTTGGCAATAATATAGAATTTTACAGCAAAAATTAGAATTGGTGTCCGAAGTTTTGTTTAGCCAATTTTTTCTTCTCTTTCTCTCTTAATAGTAATACAGTAGTAGGGTATACTTAAGCAAACTTTTAGCATTTTGTCAAATTCTCTTTCTTAAATGGCTGAATTTGTGCTCTGCATTTCTCACAATTTATTTTTCCTCACTTTTCGCCCAAACCTAACTTTCGCCGGACATTCAATCACTCAACAACCAAATTTAAAGAAAAAATTCTTAATTGGTGTTAAAAATATCTATATGAGGTAAAAAGCCATGTGAAAATGACAATT